ATATATATATATATATATATATATATGTTTCATAGGATACATTTATAAGATATAAATGATAGTACTTTTCTATTCCTCTAAAATATGTGACCAAAATAGTGGTGGGTTTATTGTGATAAGTATAGTGTTTAATAAGAGTAGTACATGAAAGCACTTATAAATTATTCTAAATATGAGTAAAATTTATATATATTTTGTTCCTTAGCAAACTGCTCCAGTCTTTTCTGTGGGCATCACTACCACTTGTTTCTTTTACCTCTTAGTCCTTATCTGAGTTATTGCCCAAATGTCTTAGCTTAAAATTTCATGTTAGTTCATTTTTATGGAATAAAAAAACTTCCAGTATACATGATTAAGCACTGAGGTGGCAGCTTAGATTCTTTCTAAGTGCTTTACAGAGCGAGAAAACACCTATTTGCAAGAATTATTCAAGGTCAATTTAAACTGTGTTTCTGTCAGAAAAAATTTTTGTTCAGACAAGCAAGGCTCACACTTAGTTTAGATCTATGCATGGGGACCACTGTTTGAGGCTTATACCAGTATTTGTTCCTTAAGCTATCATGCCTTCTTTAGATTAGCTTAATGTAAAAGCAAACATTTGAGGATATAAAACATACATATTACTTTTTTTTCAAATTGCTATACATTTCAACATGTTAAGCTTTAAACGAAACTGAAGGGCACTCAAAGTCACTTTTGTCAAAGCCTTTTCCTATAATAACGTATTTGGATGATGCAAGATATATTCTCTTGTGATGTCCAAGCGATTGATAAACTAATTTGTATGGAATATACAATAACTATCCAGTCTCTGTGGTTTCGTTAAATGAGATGAATACGAATTTCTATTTTCTGACGAGGACATAAAGTATGGTAGGCCTATTTCAGATGCTTCAGTGTGCCAAAGTTGTTATTAAGTTTGGTGTTCATAAATTACTAATCTGGAATAAGAGGTTGAATGTATTTTGAAAACTTAAACCTGTTTCACCTGAACATGTTTAACTAGTTAATAAGAAACATCAAAAAGACAAAACCCTGAGATCAATGGTCATTTTTTGTAAAGCTATTATATGCTGTTTAAATTGGTTGTTCGGGTCTGTCTATAACATAAGTTTAATAACCTAGCTCAAATGCAGATTTCTAATTTTCAATTAACATAGGAATAATTTTGTTTGCTAAAATAAAATAAATGAATGAATGACAAGTCTGAAACATGAAATGTTCTAGGTAGCACTTTTTAAAATTCCAAATTTCAAAAAATCATGTGGCAATTGTATAGCTCAAGCTTTAAGTATTAACTTTTAACCTTTGACCTTACAGATTTTAACCAATGAAATGTCTCTTTAAACTTTAAAGGAAACAATGATAACGAGCGCCTGGCGATTGCTAGACAGCGAATTCCATATCGACTTGGTCGAGTAGTTGATGAATGGCTACTCGACAAAGGTAAAAAACATTGATTAAAACTTCAAATAAAAAAATAATTTGAACATAACCAAGTAGTACTTCATTGTAACACTAATAAACATAAAAAATAAATTTTCCGTAAAACTAAATTAAAAACAAATTTAAAACAGTAAAATACAGATAGCAATATTTGCATACCTTGTATAATAATTTCTATACATTTTTAGACGTACCAGCTGTTTAATAATCTTACCCTGTTAATTTAAGGTTAAAGGGACTGTTAAATATAATCCACTAACTCAATCTATGAAGGTACTCACATCAAGCATTAACCCAAAATGATAAATCATTCATAGATTATATTACATGTTCCAGCCTCTAAATTATTAACTAAAATATATGTAGTTCTGATATCTTTATCATGGTCCTGACAAAAAAACAAAAACTCTTGGTTTAAACTCTAGGCATCTTAAATAGTGGGCAATATGGATTGCCGGTCAAAAATGAAGTCCCTTTAACGTTTGCAACCTTCTAAGAGCATTTGGGAACAAGCCCTAATTAAAACTGAACTTAAAGTTGTGTGCATGCTTTTTATGAGCAGAGAACACTCTGCTAAAACTGGATACTCAATTTGATGATATTGGTACTGTTGCTGAGGATTGCTGTTTGATGGAAATGAGCCATAATTCCTCCATCGGTTTGTGTATCATTCCTGAAGCCGCTTTTTACATCTGAAGCTATTTTTTCATTCTATTTTGTTTTAATAGACTTGCTGAAAGCCAATCAGAAAAAATATTTTTGGAATTTTTTTTTGTCTCTGACATGCTCAGTGTAAACCATGCATTTCTTTTCAGTGTGATTGCCGAAAAAAATAGAATAATTCAATAACAATGGACTATTGACTTAAAAAATAAACATTTCTAAAGAATAGCATATAGAGACCTGTGGCCAATTAAGTGAATTATGAAATTTTTACCAGAAATTTAAAATTAGATATCAGCTGATATAGATTAGTTTCTACCAGTGGTAATTTTAGAAGGACAAATACTTGAAATGCTAGATACATCACATTTTTAAATTAAACACTTTAGACTTAAGAGACCAACAGTATAAGATCTTGAGGTAAAAGGGAAAGGGATCCACTGATAATTGATTTACAATACGTTATCTTTGATTGGTCTTTTAGCAAAAGCACTACATTTACAATAAGTTGAGAATTTTACAAGTATTTGCCAATGATTATGCATTTCATGGACACCTCATTTATCAGCAATGAATTATGAGTCAAATGCCTCTCTTATAGTTTATTGCTCTCATTATCCACCCCATGAAAGATCTGTTTTTATCATCCTTTGTAGAAAGTAGAGTTCACAATCAACATTTTTGCATGTATGTAATATTATTTTTACAGGGCGTCAGCTCACAATCTTCAATAGCCAAGCAACCATAATAATTGGCGGGAAAGAGCAGGGCCAGCCCTTCCAGGGCCAGCTCTCTGGGCTTTACTACAATGGCTTGAAAGTTCTGAATATGGCAGCTGAAAATGATGCCAACATCGCCATAGTGGGAAATGTGAGACTGGTTGGTGAAGTGCCTTCCTCTATGACAACTGAGTCGACAGCCACTGCCATGCAGTCAGAGATGTCCACGTCCATTATGGAGACCACCACCACCCTGGCCACTAGCACAGCCAGAAGAGGAAAGCCCCCTACGAAAGAGCCCATCAGCCAGGTAAGTGTGCGGATTTCATTCCTTCCTGTTGGACTTGTGGTTATGAAAGTGGGCATTTTTCTAAAATGTGACTGTTTCTGATCTCAGGCGTTATGGTTTCCTTTGAGTCTTGTTTAATACAGTGCACTCAGTTTAACTATGAAATGTGTATACAAAGTTGATTTGGGATTTGGACTTTTATAAATTGCTTTGTGTTGGTTTGTTCACTGCTTGTCTATAGTCTTGATTCAGTAACCCTAGCTCAAGCTGAGAGGGTTATCTGCTAATTACATAGGATTTTCACTTTTAAGTTAAATGAACAAGTTAATGTAATAATTTGAAAGGCCTTATTTGTTCAAGCTTGGTATTTCATCAAAATAAAATGAAAGCAAATTTGAAAATCCTAGAGAAATTGCCTGCAAAAGGTCTATTGTATTGGAAGTCGTAAAGTTTTGAGTTGGTAGGTATGTGGCTCTCATGGTGAACAATAGATATACTCTCTTACTGTCTGTAAGAAAAGCACACTGTTATCTGAGGAAAAAGACCCAAAATATGGTACTTAAAAACTGGCTTGGACTAGCATATTTTGTATGATATGTGGCTAACTGCCTTCATCTAGACTGCACTTGAGTTTACTGTTCAATTTTACATCTACAATTTTCGAAAAATATATTTTAAATATTGAATTTGTACAACAGGGAAGTATATTAGTAATTCAATTCAGGTATACTTCTTGATTGCCTAACATGTATCAGGCATTGGTTTAATTGGCCTTACATCATGGAAGAACAAGAACACAAATAAACTACCTATCTCATAGAGCTTACATTTTATGAAAAGCTATTAGAATGCTGTTGAAATGCTATTCTGATTGACATGTATTACCTTTGTCAATAATCTGTGGTTAATTGTCAGATTGTGTGTTCTCCTTGGTCCAAAATAGATTGTTTCCTTTCGTTTTTAAGAGTGTCTTCAGTAGGTGCCATAGAAAGCTTTTCCAAATACATTATTTCTCTAGAAACCCATATTCTAAAGATGTGAGAATGATCAAAATTATTTTTAAATTGTTTTTATTCCATGTGTTTGAAACAGACCAAGTGTTAGAATTAGAGAATAAAAGCAAATTTTGTTGTATCAGCATCCTATCTACTAATTAACATATTTTTATGAGAGAAAGAAAAAAATAGATTCTGGTTTTTATTTTGAAGGAAGAGGTGGAGGGAAAGAATATAGGAAGAGAAAATGTCCTAGGAGATGAGAGATGATCAGAAGTTGTAAATTGTAGTGATGGATATATGTATCTATGTGCAGCGTTTTCCTCTCTCTCTCTCTCTCTCTCTCTCTCTCTCTCTCTCTCTCTCTCTCTCTGCATTTGGCTACAAAGTAAAATGGACAGTCTAAAATGATGTTTATCAATATATGTTTATTGATCACGCTCCATGTGCCATACACTGGTTGGGCACTGAGGATATGTTAGCAACAACAAACAAAAAACCTGCCCTTATGGAATAATACATTTTAGTCAGCATGTGGCTTAGGGTGTATTTTGTTGATTTTTTTCTATCTTGTTTGGGTTTATAACATTGTTGATAATAACACTTAGCACCTTGGATAAACACTTCTGACTTCAGATTTATTCTTGCTCAACAGCTCCATTTGATATTATTTTCCAATATCTCACTGGTTATTAGTTACTGTGGTTGTTGGTTTAATGTTTATTTAACAATAAGCAAGTTAAGGTGAATCATATATAGAAGAAATAAAGCACAGAACAATTGATAGACTATTTCATTCAAATAAAATAATTCATAAAAGGGCATTCTAGGATAATCAGAGTTGAAACATTCCCATTAATAAAGTTAGAAAGAACCAGATATTTTTCTTAGTAGTTTTGTTTCATCACTAATGAAATTACAGTTGCATAAGTTCCTAGGTAAACCAGATGTATCCCAAAATAAGGAGAAAAATTATCAGCTTTGTTTTTGTGTATTTTATCAATTAGTAACTGCTATATATTAAGAAATTATGTTTTAAGAAAATGTGTAAAGTAGCTATTTTATTTGCAAGCTGAACACCTACAAATGAAGAAATAAAGTAATGTATTTTATACTATTAATATAAAAGGAAAACAGTTAACTGCTCATTAATTGTCAATTAAAAGAGCCTCTTTTATTATAAGCTATAACATGTTTAAAGACAGCAGTGCTTCATAGAGGTAAATGATCTAATCAATTAGTAATTACTTGGTTCATTTGAGGAGGCATTGACTTCAATAAAAGATTACTAGTTTCATTAAAAGATAGAGATGTTACATTTTTAGATTTTTTAACAGACCAAATATAGCAATTATATAATTTGGATTACTATGTTACAGATATTCAATTATAGCAACAGTGTCTTAAAGTTGGACTAATAGTTTTTAAAATTGTCTTTTTTATAATGATCTGTATGTGATTACAGCTAATGCCTGTATATGGGGGGAGTCAAAGGAAAGAAAGGAAGTTTTTTGAGTAACAGAATAATTTGTTGTGAATTTTCTTTACCTCACAATTGATTTTTAAATCACCCTCCAATTATAAAGATAACTAATACATGTAGATTTTCAATATATCTTTCTTAGAACTGTCAAAATCTTGGAAGTTTAAGTGATTTGTAATGCTAATTGCAGGACTGTAACCTTTGACCCATTTTTGCAGGTCAGCTGAAGCATCTTCCTTCCAGTGGTTCTCAACCTTCTGGCCCTTTAAATACAGTTCCTCATGTTGTGACCCAACCATAAAATTATTTTGGTTGCTACTTCATAACTGTAATGTTGCTACTGTCATGAATCGTAATGTAAATATCTGATATGCAGGATGGTCTTAGGCGACCCCTGTGAAAGGGTTGTTCGACCGCCAAAGGGGTCGCGACCCACAGGTTGAGAACCGCTGCTTTAAACTCTGTCTGTAGTACAAACCATCTCTATGTGCTTTTATCAACTGCCTCACTGCATTGTGTGCCAGCAAGGGTCATTTTATTTTCAAACACCACCCCGGACTGTTTTCTCAATCAAAGTGTATTTTCCTCAGTGATAGCACTGAACCACTTTAGCTGCAGTAGCTCTGTACCTTGGGGTGATTGCATGTTTGAGAACTATGGAAACAGATTTTTGGTCAAGCGGAATTAAATTGGATTCATTTCAAATAGATGAGATGAGGTTTTTTTTGGCCATCCTGCAGGGCAAGTAGTAGGAGAAATGTGTTTTTGGTTTTCACAGAGTCACAGAACATAAAATAGTATTCATCAAAATGTCATCTCATAAGATCTAGTTTACATTGTTACTTAAAAGTAAAAATCTTCAAAAAGAAAAGTTTTTCTTCCCTGATTAATGAACAATTTTCAGACTGATGTTTACTTAAGAAAGGCATGGTTCCTATGATGAACTAAAGAATACTTTTTCCAACCCTTGTGGTTAAATGGCTTTTTAAATGTGAATATAACAATATTAATAACTTTTACTCGTATATGGATTATATAAACTTCATAAAATTTGTTTTACTTAGAATACTTAACATATAAATGTTTCTATAGGACATGCTCATCTCAAAAAACCAGAAATTTCCTATAAAGCTAATCTTAGAAAGTGATGATTTGCAAATATTTGATAGTATAAAGATTTTCAGGATGCTAAGAGCTTTCTGGGGATAGGGGGAGGAATTTCATGCAATATTTCTGGCTGTTAAATGATCCCTCCACTTCTGTATAATTTGGCAATGTCTTACGGGTATATATGTAGCTTTACATACATAAGTAAATGTGAACCAACATGCAAAGGGCAGTATTCAGTCCTGTTGGTTGCCAGGCTTTAAAGGAAGGAGAGTGGAACCCTGCGATTTCTTTTAAGATCAAGATTGTGACATTTATTCTGGTGCAGGCTTTGTATCACATTTTGTGATCTTTTAGGTGTTTTCCTTTAAGAATAGTTTACAAGCTCTATACCTACTGTAGAGAATATGGATTCATTGTAATGCCTTTTACTTCAAGGAGTGCGGTGTGATGGAAAGAGCACAGTGAATCAGGAAACCTGGTTTCTACTTTCAACACAATCACTACCTTGTTGTGTAACTTGGACAGGTTGCTTAATTAACCTCGCTGTACTTTGTCCTGCTACCTTGTTACAAGGGGACTGAACCAAGAATCTCTTGAATTATACTGAGTTCCAAAATTTCATTGTCTCTAGCAATGAGGTGCTTAGGTCATCTGGTGATTATTTAATGAAGCAAAGATTTCATCCTTGACTTTTACACAGCATGGCCATGCCTCTCGATTGGCCTGTATCACCCTCGTGTACCTGGTGTCCCAGTGTAATTATTATTCATAGTATCCCTTTTTTACTCTCAAAAGCTCCCATTTTAGTCTAGAAATTATATTGCAGTCTTCTTGTACAACAGACATAAATCCTTCTCTGCAAGAAAATCATACTTCATAAGAATAATACATAGTGAAGCCCTATCTTTACATTCCAAACAGAAACTGACTGGTATCTTTACCTGGTTTCAGGAGTCGATAGGGTTTTTCATCTCATTTCAAAAATCTTAAGAAAGGAGAGAGAAGAAGGCTTTGGAAGAGTATGGTTCTTGACTGGAGAGACTATGTTTGCAACTGTTAGTAAGAAATCAAATTATGGAGTGGAGCTGAATCAGCAAATATGAGGGAAATGTATTGGAACAAGTCTATGGCTCCAGTTAGGCCCTTCCTCCCTCCCTCCCTCCCTCCCTTCCTTCCTTCCTTCCTTCCTCCTCCTCCTCCTCCTCCTCCTCCAATGTTGGGTATTTAAAAGAATTGCTAGGTTGTCAGAGAGATGTATATTTCACATATGCAATGTCCTATAGAAGTCAATGGCATTTTATTCTTGTAGAATGTTTCACAAAGAAATTCAACTAATATTCAAGCAAGAGTATTTGTGTATATTGGGCACCACTATTGCTTCATAGCAGATTTCAATATACTCATGAAAAATTAATACTATTTGCTTAAAAAAT